TATTATTTTTTATTTTTTACAATAATTACTAACTCTTTGTTTTTTTTTTTGTAGCAAAACTGGCATTGGAAAACTTCCGCACACGGACGTGTGGAGGCGGCCTTCAAAGAGAAGGTCAAGTTCCGCCTCAACAACATTGTTTCCGACTGGAAGCGGAAGTGGGAGGTCGACGGCAACAAGGCCAAGCCAGCGCCAAAGGACGATACCGTCTGGGAGGGTCTGGTTCAACATTGGTTGACTCCGCACAACCAGACTATTGCCGCCAAGTGTTCCTCGTCCAGGTATTTTTGTAAATTAAATTAAAATATGTGTTTAAATTATAATATTATATATGTTTAATTAATTACAATTCTAATTACTATATTTTTCAGGAACGCTACTGACGATGCGGGAAATCAAAAAAACGTCCCACACACTTCCGGTCAGATTACTTTCGCCGAAAGACGACTTATGATGGTAAATTTTTATTAATGAGTTTTTGTTTTAAAATAATTCTTATTTAATTTGTCTTATTAATAATATATTTCACTTTGATTTTGTAGGTCTAAGAAAACGTGGAGAACTTCCTCCGATGAAGAAGGTCTTCGCCGAGACCCATAAGAAGAAGAACGGCGAATTCACGGATCCTCGGGCGGAGGAGATCTACAACGTCGTCTGTGCGCGGATCGATGAGCGGCAGATGCAGCTCACTCAGCAGGCGCCTCCGACGTCTCTCGGAGGTAGCTCAGAACAATCCACCCCAACACTCACGGTGGCGGAGATGGACCAGATCTTCGAAGAGGTAAGTGTATTCCTTTTCCTATTTAGTTTAATTTTAACTTTATATTGTACTTTTTTACATAAGTTTTCTACATATTTTCAGGTTGCCCCTAAGAATAAGGGCCGGATTTTAGGGATGGGATCCATCCGTAATACCCAGTCACTACGGCGACTGTTCATGTCCGGGCAGCGGATCCGCTTATCCGCCGGGAGATCCATCAGATGCGGACTCAGTATGAGGCGAAGATCGACCAGTTGTACGGTCTCTTCGAGATTATGTGGGCCGACAACCCGTTGCTCATGGTGCAGTTGGACAGGTTGCGGGCAGCTGGAGTTATCGGGTCATCTTCTTCATCTTCTAGGAGGCAACCTCCGGTGCAGACAAACGAGGAGATGTTCCGGTCTCTCGGGGTTGATCCTCCTAGAGCCGGGGATCAGGTGTCAGAAGCCTCCAACCAAAGACCCGGCAAGGAACATGTGGAACAGGATAGGGATCCGGAGCAGAACGATGAGGGGATCGACGACATTAGTTTAGATTTAGATCTTTAGGTTTTTTTTAATTATTATAATTTTTTTATTTTGAATTTTAATTAAAATTTAAAAATTAAAATATTTCTTTTTTATTTAAATTTTAAATTGGATTAAATATTTTTTTTTAATTTTATTTATAAAAAACATCGTATAACCGTCGTAATATATTTATTATTAATTTATTAAATTGTCGTAAATTCGTCGTAACACATACAACCCAATTACGACCAAATATTCGTCGTATATTATACGACGTTTATTACAATGATTAAACGTCATAGTTTTACGATGAATACTAAAATAAATTTTACGATCGAATTACTACGAAATTCAAATCGAGGCAAATCAATGTAAAGTCGTCGTAAACCTTACGATGCGTTTACAACGATCCTTTTACGTCGATGTTACTACGAATTAGAACCGTCCTAGATTGTACGACGATTTTACGACAAAATTTCTTTTACGACGATGGTTTTACGACGATTTTGAAACCGTCGCTAGTTCGTCGTAATAGGGCTATTACAACGAACTTACGACGGTTTTGGCCGTTGTAAAACAGTGTTTTTCTAGTGACATATATAATAGTGTGTATCTAGCTGAATTACTCTTATAAATTATCGTCAGACTGCTAAATTATCGTCTGGCGGGGCCTTGTCCAGTTCTGGTCGGATCCAATCAACCAGACTACGGTCGCCAAGTGTTCCGTATCTAGGTAAGTCGTAGTTAATTTCATTAATATTTACATTATTTTTTTCCTTTTAATAGATTCTAATCAAAATATTTTTCTGGAACGCTACTGACGATGCGGGAAATAAGAAGAACGTCCCGCACACTTCCGGCCAGATTCCTTTTGCCGGAAGACGGCTTATGATGGTTACTAAATTAAAATCATTAATTTTTTTTTTCAACTAATAAACTCTTATTTCTTGATAATAATTAATTTTTTCTTTTTTATTTTGTAGGTCGAAGATAACAGAGGAGAACTTCCTCCGATGACGAAGGTTTTCGCCGAGACGCATAAAAAGCGTAACGGCGAATTCACGGATCCTCGGGCGGAGGAGATCTACAACGCCGCCTGTGCGGCGATCGAGGAGCGACAGACGCAGCTGACTCAGCAGGCGCGTCAAACGTCTCCCGGAGGTAGCTCGGTCCAATCGACCCCGGCGCTGACGGTGGCGGAGATGGACCAGATCTTCGAAGAGGTACGTAATTAATTATAATTACTTTTTTTAATTAATGTAACTTTACTTTTAAATTATATTTCTAACCATAATGTTTTTATATGTTTGTAGGTTGCCCCAAAGAAAAAGGGGCGGGTATTAGGGATGGGGTCCATCCGTGATACCCCGAGAGCTACGGCGACTGGTCACGTCCGGGCTGCGGCGGATCCGGTTATCCGCCAAGAGATCGATCAGATGCGGAACCAGTACGAGACGAGGATCGACCGGTACGAGACGAAGATCGACCTGCTCTACAGTCTTTTCGAGATCATGGGAGCCAACAACCCGGTACTCATGGTGCAGCTGGACAAGCTGAAGGCTGATGGGGTTCTCGGAGGATCGTCTGCCGTCGGGTCATCTACTAGGACTCGACCGCCGCCGGTGCAGACGGACGCAGAGATGTTCCGATCTCTCGGGGTCGACCCTCCTACAGCCGGAGCCGGAGATCAGGTGCCGGCGGGACCATCAAACCGAAGACCCGGCAAGGAGCACGTCCAAGACGATGGGGAGGAGGCCGGTGACGGGATCGACGATCTACAAATAGATTTAGATGAGCTGTAGGGTTTTTTTGTAAATTACAATTAATTTTAATTTCAAATTGTAAATTATTTTTTTTTATTTAAATTTTAATTCGAATTATTTTTTTTTTTAATTTTCAATTAATTTTTTTTTAATTTCCAATTATATAAGTCGTTGTATAATCGTCGTAATCGATTTATTCAAACCGTCGTAATATCGTCGTACATATTACGACGACTTTACGACTATAATATACGACGATAAATACGACGATTATACGTCCGAAATGTACGACGATTTTACGACAGAATGAAGAAATACTTTACGATTGATTTACGACAATTTTTACATCGTACATTTTACGACGATCTTACGTCAACCATTAACGACCACTTAACGACGGTCTAGGCGAAGACCAAGTGGACGCAATTCGATGTAAACTCGTCGTAAATTGTACGACGCATTTACGACGATTTTGTTTGCCTCGACGTTACGACGAAACAAAATCGTCGTATATTATACGACGATTTTACGACGATTTGTCTATTACGACGATGAGTTTACGACGATTTTGAAATCGTCGGTAATCCGTCGTAATGGCCCTATTACGACGAATTAACGACCATTTCGACCGTCGTAAAATGATGTTTTTCTTGTAGTGAGAGTGTTATATCTATTTGTAGCGCACTAACCACAAAAATAACACCTTTAACAATTTATATAATTCATATTGTTATCAAACTAATAATTTTTATACCTAGTAAATTATAATATTAGACGTTAAATTTATATGTATTGTGCTACATATATTAATAACATCTTTAATCATCTATATAGCTCATTATTGTTATCAATCTAACATTATCTTTACTGTGTAAAACATAATGTTATATGTAAATTTATATGTTTATATATAATATAATAATTGTTAATTTATAACAAAATATGTAAACCGTTATTATAATATATATATATATATATGTATATATATTAGATTTGGAATATGTTGTGTGATTGAGATTTATTGAAGGAAGATTTGGAAGATTTTCTCCTACTCTACAAAATCCTCTCAGCCACCCTATTAAATCATCACATTTCCTATCAGAGCTCAACAGAGCTCAACAAATAACGTGGCAAAATCTTTTGGGGGTAAAAGGGTATCTGCTGATGACCATCCTCATAATAGTAGTTTTATGTGAGGTTTTGGCAGTGGCGGATCCAGAAATTTTTTTAACCGGGATCATAGAAGGCATCGAACATGAAATTAAAGGGGTCAATCAAAGAATTTTCAACCAATTTTTCCAACGATAACATGCATTAGTAAGCTCAAGTTCTAATTTATATAATTTAACCTGGATCAATTAACCTCTTTATAGCTCTACGTAATTCTGTCATTGAGTTTTGGTCATTTCTGCAAATTTGACTTGATTTATGTTTATTGAGCTAATTCACTCAAAAAAATTAGGGTGAGCGATTTTGGATAAAATGAATAAAGTAGGAAGACTAGATAAGTCTTTTAGAGCACCTCCAATGGTAGGCTCTAGCAAAAGTTTTTAGATTTTAAAAGATTAAAAATAAATCAAAAATTAATTAAAAATAAAAACCAATCCTTAAAACTTTTATTTGAGAACCTCATTTTTTAGAGGTTCTACACTTATCACATTCTCATTAGTCTATTTTTATTTTTAAAATTAAAATTTAATTAAATAATTATACTACATTATAATATTAATATTTATTTGTTTAAAACCCCATAATGGTCTTAGACTTTATTTGGGCCTCTTCCAGGTCCGATAAACCTTATATATTGAGATGGGCCCACATTATCTTCTCTAAATATATCCACGTGTTCTCTCTGGCACCGTGCGTTTCCATACGCCGTGTCACACTCGATTACTTAGCTACCGATATTCCTCGTGCGATTACAATTCAGCGTCCTCCGTGAGATCGTACGGCTGAATTTTGCTCCTTGTCTTCGATCCAACGGTCAAAGTTCGAAGTCGTAATTCCCAGCAAGCCTCCGTTTGTCCTAAAAGAGATATAGACAGATCAAATATAAAAGCGAAATATGAAATGTGTTGGTATGTTTATGTTTTTCCTTTGATTTCCCCAATTTCTAGGGTTTCGAGATATGGCTACTAAATTCGAATTTGTACAACCAGTGGTTCACAATAGGTTCAGATTCGCAACCTGTTGCAGTAACAGTCTATTGTATTTGCATACTTCGAGCTTCTTCTACGATCGGTGTAGGGTTTTTCGCCGGAACCCGAATCGATTCGTCTCCAATTCAATCCCGCTTCCTCTGCAGAGGAAACCTGTTACAGTGTTGAGAAATCATAAAGGGTTTAATCTCTGGGATGGGTTTTCAAGGAAGAAGAGACGGGGTGTTGTGAATTGTCAAGAAGACGATCAGAAAGCTAGTTCGAGTGAGAGTAGTGACGGAGAAGGAGACCAAGATTCTCCGGCGAACTCGAGCTCGAGCTCATCGTCGAAGCGGAAAATAGAGAAGGAAAGGAAAGATGGGGTTATGTGGTCGAGAGGGAAGAAATGGCAGTGGCAGCCAATACTCCAGGCGCAGGGGATTGGGGTTTTACTGTTGCAATTAGGCGTTGTTATGTTTCTGATGAGATTGCTACGACCTGGAGTACCTTTACCTGGCTCTGAGCCTCGGATTCAGACGACTTTCGTGAGCGTGCCTTACAGCGAGTTCTTGAGTAAAGTTAACAGTAACCAGGTGCAGAAAGTGGAGGTTGATGGGGTTCAGGTTTTGTTTAAGCTTAAAGATGATGGGAAATGGCAGGAGAGTGAAACTAGTAGGATATCTGAGTCTTCTGAGTCGCTGCTAAGAACTGTGGCTCCGACGAAAAGAGTTGTATATTCTACCACAAGGCCTGCCGACATCAAAACACCATATGAGAAGATGCTTGGGAATAATGTTGAATTCGGATCGCCTGATAAACGCTCTGGTGGCTTCTTCAACTCCGGATTGGTAATATACTACTCTTTGATGATGATGCTTTATAGTTTTGCAATGACTGGTGCTTTTTACAAAAGACTGGGCTTTCAGTTTTCAAGCTGCGTCATTTTCAGTTTTGGAAAGCATTTCATTTGAAAAGTTCCTTTTTTTGTTTGTTGCAGATAGCACTTTTCTACATAGCGGTGCTTGCAGGGCTTATTCAACGATTCCCTCTTAGCTTCTCCATGGTTTGCATCTCCATTATACTTCAATGTGGTTGTTTAAATTTTTCAATCTCCTAAAATACGACGGGTGTACACAGAGTTCAACCAGCCAGCTTAGGAGCCGAAAGTCTGGTGGTTCTGATGGGGGAAAAGTCTCTGGTGGAGGTGAAACAATTACATTTGCAGATGTTGCAGGTGTTGATGAAGCAAAGGAAGAGCTAGAAGAAATCGTCGTAGGTTTCTCAGCCCTTAAAGATGCTGCACTTGCTGATTGATCGTCAGATCGTTTGTGATGGTAATTGTGTTTTACTCATGGATCAATTTTTTGCAGGAATTTCTTAGGAATCCTGACAAGTATGTCCGTCTGGGTGCACGTCCTCCTCGTGGTGTCCTATTGGTAAGTGAAATCATTTGATTCCACTTCGATAATTTCTTTTGAATAGTTAATGGCTAATGTTTTGTTACAAGACCTCTCTTTTAGAATTTCATGCCTTTCGTTTCCATTCTTTTGTAGGTTGGTCTTCCTGGAACAGGGAAAACGCTTCTTGCAAAGGCTGTTGCTGGGGAAGCTGACGTTCCCTTCATAAGTTGCTCTGCAAGTGAGTTCGTAGAGCTGTATGTCGGTATGGGTGCCTCACGTGTAAGGGATCTCTTTGCTCGGGCCAAGAAAGAAGCACCGTCCATTATATTTATTGATGAGGTTAGAATACGTAGTCTATGTCGGGTTACCTCCAGTACTTTCTACCTCTGGATATCTTTAAACAAGATTTTATGTTTTTCTTCATGTTCCAGATAGATGCTGTGGCAAAAAGCCGTGATGGTAAATTCAGAATTGCCAGCAATGATGAAAGGGAGCAAACACTGAATCAGCTGCTTACCGTAAGTGTGTAATCTTGTACTGTTTCTGCTTAAGTAGCATTCTTGATTTTTCCATGACCCATTCACATGTTGGAAACTTGTTTGCAGGAGATGGATGGTTTTGACAGCAGCTCTGCGGTTATCGTTCTTGGAGCTACAAATCGTGCCGATGTCTTAGATCCGGCCCTGCGTCGCCCTGGGAGATTTGATCGTGTTGTTACGGTTGGTAGAATGGATTAGTCTGCCGATTTGTTAGTGGTTAGGCAGATTAAGATTCTTTCAAGGGTACTGATGCATTTTTTTTCAGGTGGAAACGCCAGACAAAATTGGAAGAGAATCCATTTTGAGAGTACACGTCTTAAAGAAAGAGCTTCCTTTGGGAGATGACGTCAGCCTTGGTAGTATTGCCTCAATGACCACTGGTTTTACAGGGTACGCTTTTCTACATTATCCTTGATTTCAAATTTCTTCAGTTGTACGGTTTTGGCTATATATCTCATAAAGCCATTTTTCGTATTTTGCAGGGCAGACCTTGCAAACTTGGTAAATGAGGCTGCCTTGCTTGCTGGACGAAAGAGCAAGACAACCGTTGACAAAATTGACTTCATTCAAGCTGTGGAGCGATCCATAGCGGTATCGCGCTATCCTCTCTAGTCTACTTAGTACCTGAAGCAATTCGTCAAACGTTTCTTTACAATGCATTTTTATTCCAGGGCATAGAGAAGAAGAGTGCAAGATTAAAAGGCACTGAGAAGGCAGTGGTTGCAAGGCATGAAGCTGGGCATGCAGTAGTTGGTACTGCTGTTGCAAAACTTGTTACTGGACAACCACGTGTTGAGGTAAACTACAAAAGCATTTTGGACATGTACGCTCATAGGTTCTGCTGTTTGGACAGGCTTTACGCTTATCTGTGCAAGTGATTCAAGTTTTTGCTCTTTTTGTTGTTAGAAATTGAGCATATTGCCAAGAACAGGAGGGGCATTGGGATTTACATACATACCTCCTACCAATGAGGACAGATATTTGCTCTTCATTGATGAGCTGCTTGGACGTTTGGTTACCCTTCTCGGAGGTCGTGCAGCTGAAGAAGTTGTCTACTCGGGGCGTGTATCAACAGGTGCATTTGACGATATCAGGCGGGCAACTGATATGGCATATAAGGCAGTAGCTGAATATGGTCTTAACCAGACAATCGGACCCGTATCTGTGGCTACACTTTCTGGTGGTGGGATTGACGATTCGGGAGGCTCACCATGGGGAAGAGATCAGGTAACATCAATCTTCATTGCACTTGCCTAGGTTTCTGTGATGTCCCTCTCCCTTGAAAGAACGCAAAACTTAACCTTCCATGTTTATACACAGGGGAAACTAGTTGATCTTGTTCAAAGAGAAGTGACAAATCTGTTACAATCTGCTCTCGATGTTGCACTGTTGGTGGTACGCGCTAATGCAGATGTATTGGAAGGACTTGGTGCTCATCTGGAAGGTAATCCATTACCAGATAGTATAACTTTATTTACTTTCATCAAACGAGAACAAGTTTTCGAAAAAGTGTGGGACAGTTTATAAGATATATCATCCCTAAAAGCTTTGAGCTTCCACGGGCTTAGCTTGAGTTTGGTTGATGTGATAGCTAGCTGACTCTGATGATGAAAATATCATGATTTGGTGCAGAGAAAGAGAAAGTAGAAGGTGAAGATCTGCAGAAGTGGTTAAGTATGGTGGTAGCACCTGAAGAACTCGCAATCTTCGTCAAAGGAAAGCAAGAGGCGTTGCTCCCGGCACGAGCTAGCTCCAGTTAACAGCTACAATGTTCTGTCACCAATTATAGCCATAAAGACAGGTTTTAACACAGATCCTGTATCTCCAGGTCAGATCTGACTATCACCATTGCCTAATGCATAGCATCAATGGTTCCAGGGTCCCGTCCCGTAACACTTGAATCAAAATGTAAAGAACCATTTTGGAGAGTAATCATTCTGGTGATAGCTTATAGAATTACTGGCCGTGTGTTGTAAGATTTGGTGTTCTTGCTGTATACAGTCTCTTAAGAGAAATTGGCAAAATTGTATCATTGTTTTAGATGTATAAAAGCCATATACATATTACAATATGAGCTTTGAGAACAGTGTGGTTCACTCTTGAATTCTCATAAGTTCCTCTTGTATACGAATCATCATGTACTCTGTTCTTCAGATTCTACTTGTTCTTGGTATATACATTACCCTCATTTCTCCATATTATTCTCAAAATTTCTCCAAGTGATGAGTGAATCTTGAAAATGAATTATGATATAGTGAGATCTTTTCGATTAATCATAAAATGCCAAATAAAATGAAGAAAGAGCAGTTTATATATAATTGAAATCCGAAGAATTATAGAGAATAAAAACGGGGAGGCATAAACAATGCAAATTACTGTACTATACAAATTTTCTTTTATTTTTTGTTGAAGAAGCCACCTAAGCCGCCGAATCCACCATCGCTCTTCTTCGGCGGTACAGGCACCGGAGTCGAGTTTTTACCGCCACCGCGAACAGTTCCTCTGCCTCCGTTGGTGCCGCCGCTTTTAGTGCCGCCACTTTTTGTGCCGCCGCTTCTGGAGCCTTCTTTCTCCTCAACCTTCTTGAGAATTGGATCAGTCTCGTAGAACTGATCTTGCTTTGTCAAATAGCCAAGCACAAAGTCGAGGGGATTCTTCTCCTCTTTGGCGCCGCCTGATGCTCCCTTTGCGGTTGTGGCGTAAACCCTCACGGTGGCCGGAGCAAACGACATGAGAAGCGAAGAAACCATTCTTTTGTTATCTCCCTTTTCGATCTCTCTCTCTGTTTTTTTTTTATTATTATCGGGACTGTGTGTGTGTAAATGTGTATGTCTTCGTGTGGCATTTGTTACAAAGGGATTACAACGAGGTTTGGTGAATCTGAGCCGTTGGATTTTTGTTGGCACAAGCTCTCCACAAGTGTCTTATCCTCTTTTTCTTTTTTCTTCACATATTTTTTTCTTAGATACATTTTTTTATTTTGGTTTTAATATTTCTTAGATATACAGTAAAACCTCTATCAATTAATAATATCGGGACCATGATATTTTATTAATTTATCGTGATATTAATTTATTTATAAATTATTAATTATTAATTTATAGAGAAAATTTGCTTTCCGCTTATAATTTTTAAAAACGTTTTTGGAATAGTATTATATTTTAAAATTTTAATAAATCTCGTAATATAAATTATGATTAACAATCATAACTATTGCAATAAAATAGTTTTAATATCATATTGGATTGTTCATGTAAAAATATACATGTTCATAAGTTTAAAATTTATAAAAAAACTATGAATACTATACGTATTTTGATGATAAAGTTGAAGATAACATTACAATACATACAAAAACTTTTACATGTAAGAAAATCAATTATCATATCAAAAATCATCATAAATTTTGAATGTATATAGTAAAACACCAATAAGAGCTACTTATATAATAGTTAGAGAGATAAGATCCAATGAAATTTCAACCTTAAGTCAAAGCAAACACATTAGTCATATTTTAGTATATTATATTTACATATATTTGCATAAATTTATATAATTATTAATTTATGTTTTTGTTGGGACCATATATTTATATAGGAATTTCAAAAAAATTATTATCTTATTATCTTATCGAATATTATAGATTTTTACATTGGCCCGACTTAGGACCAGCAAAATTTATTAATTTATAGTGATTATTAATTTATCGAGTATTAATTTATAGAGGTTCTACTGTATTGTATTCTGTGCACATTATCTGTTTAATGGGTTTTATGATGGTTATTTTTAAGTTGTATTTTTTTAAAACAGAAGCACTTTTAATACTTGCATCCAAAAACTCTTAAATTTTTATTTAAAAACAATTATTTAAAAACTGTTTTAAGATTTTCTTATTTTGTTGCAATATTGTTTTAAAAAATACATTTTCTTTTATATAAAATTGTAATTCCAAAGATTAGATATCAATTTAGATAATTAAAGATTTTCTTAATATAAGTTATATTTAATTTAAAATTTAAAATATTTTAAAAAACTGCAAATTAAGTTTAAGTCTAAAAAATTAGATATTAAGTTAAATTACTTTAAACTTCTTTAAATATAGTTTAGATTTAATTTAACATTTGAAATTTAAATAATATTTTTATTATAAACATATGATTAACAAATTTTTTATTGTGTTTTTTTTAATCATAATCAATTAGTCAAAAAATTTACATATTGAAGATTGATAAATATTTATATTATATAGTTATTTGATGGAACATGTTAATTTCTTTTTATAATTATGGTTTTATGTTGGTTAAATTATCAAAACATGCAATATATTAAGTTAAAAATATTTCAAAATTAGTAAATATGTTATTATATAGTAATATGAACAGATATGTTTTTATAACCACAATCCTTTTCGGATTAATAGAATGAATTAGAATTATGTTTTTATAATAACTGCCTTTTTTCGATTATTAGAATGATCAGGTTATAATTATGTTTTTCTGTTCGCGGTCATAATAATACTAACAAAATTTTTTAAATATAAATTACATTTATAAACAAAGAAATGAATCTTTATCAATTATTAAAAAAATTATATCTTAAAAAAATAATAAATTATATTACAAAATTTGATAAATTGTGCAAATGGACAGGGTAAAATCTAGTTGTTAGTCAAATCCCACCCTTTAGCTCTTAATTTTCCAAAGGAAATGTATGAATGCGGAGGAGACACGTCTTAGTGTTGCAGTGAGGTGTTGCGTGCATGTCGCTGAAGGTTGGGATTAGGAGTGGAACGAGATTGGGACTAGAAGTAGATATGGATCCTTCAATTCCAATTTGAGATCTTAGTAATATTATACGAACAAAAAGCATCCCATAAAGTTTGTGAAATATGATCACTTATTATTTCACTAGAAAGCAATGCTCAGTGATTATTAGTATTCGATTTACATTTGCTCTTATTGGACCCATCCATGATCAGTAAGCCAGTGGTTGAATCAGAAACCGTATCGACTACAAAGTGAGATAACAAAGGCAAAAGCCAAAAAAAAACAAAAAAAGGCAGAAGCAAAGAGGAGCGATGTTGATTCGGCAGGCACTGATTCACTCAAAAACACTACTTACAATTTTTCCTCTTGCTTCCATTGTCTACCTAACCTCTGCCGATGTCTCTTTACTGCAAATCACTGCTAACAAACCACACCATTCACTGACCTCTAGCGTTCTCAAGCCAATTCCTGAGGAGAATCAGATGATTCTAAAGGGAAACACGTTTCTTCACCACCGGTTTGCCAGAGGAAGTTGGCGTAGTTTGCGGCGTAAAATGAGTTGGTGGGGTCTGCAGATATAGCTTCTAGAAAGTTCTCCTCCGCTGCCCAGAGATCCTTCCGAACTTTCCACTGGAAGAAGGCGTATTTGCTGTACGCTTCCGCGTCTACTTCTTCTAACTCTATGGCTTTCTTGAAGCACTTCTCCGCTCTGATACATCCAAAAGCAAACCTCAATGTCAAGTTCCAGAGTTACAATGTATTCATGAATTCTTCTGCTATATTTCAGTTCAATCTAGGGCCTTTACAGATTTAAAAAGGTAACATCTTTTGATTCTCAATGAGACAAGCTCAAGTATATACTTCACGTAGGACAGGTAATAACTCTTGAATGTTAGATGCAAGAATAGGTAAAGGATATAATACCTGTCATAGTCTTGACTGACGAGGTAAAGGAACTGAGCGTAGTTAGCTAGGAGAAGAGGGTTGTTCGGCTCTTGAGCCAAACCTATCTTATATAAAAGCTCTGTTCTAGTGTAGTTGGCATAATCGTCCAATTCGATCCTTGCAATGATCGGTGAAACAAGTCTCAGTCTCATGTCACGATCGATAGGGTAATCTTGCATATGATCAGCTTCTTCCACCATCGAATTCCACAGACTCAGCTCCTCTTTTCTTATCCCTTGTCCGGAAACCGAGCTTCGTTGTGTCGATATTTGGGAGACCTTGTCAAAAGTGCTCGGTCCAAGCCATTTGGACCCATCAAGCCCGTTAACATCTGCTCCACTAGATACAGTAGTCTCTTGTGGCGAAGAAAAACCAGACCTTTGATGCGTCTGATCATGGCCTTTAGTAACCGGCGGCGATGCTTCTATTGGCACAGTAGAGTGTGGTGGAGATGCTGCAATAGCTAGATTTGATACAACTGAATGCACAGTGAAGTTTGCTAATAGGATCATCACATATACCATCAAAGTAGGTGTCTGAGAGAACACGCGTTGGAAAATCCACAACAATGAAGCGTGCATATCCTTCTTAACCTGCTTAAGAACACCTTGTAGGTCTTCGTAGAAGATAGTCTCCCTTGTCTGCAACGCAAAGCTATGGAGCTCCTCGAGCATGAAGACCATAGAAGAGAAGGCTCTGTTGATAGAGCAATAAGTAGATTCACTTGCTTCTTTGAGCGACTCTTCTTGTAGCTTCCTCTTTATTATCCTAAGTGAGAGAGGCAAATCGACACTGTTTGCCTTCCGTTCAATGCTTGAATGGTTAACCATCTCCATCCATGGAGCCTCAAGCGAAGCTAAACCTGGAATAGACTCCTTTCGTAGCTTCACCGTCCCGAATCTGTGATTCCTATGATCGTTATCTACTGCTTCGTGGATTGTATCTGATTGGTACTTGTTTTCTTTGTTTCTCTCTAGGTCTTCTTCTTCGCCTGCAATCTTGAATTGTATTGCTAATTCCTGCATCTTCTCGGAGAATTCTTCATCGGAGAAGCTCGCACTACAAACTCTCCGCAAGGGATTAAGTTTCTGCACGCCCGTTCTGTTCTTCTTCGTTGTAGCATTGTTAAATTCCCAAAGCTCACAAGATTTGGATCGGTGTAGTTTCCCAGATTGTGTTCCGAGAAAAGTCGAAGGTTTCAATCTCGTCTGGCATGATAAAGATCCTCCTCCGACGGATACATCTCCTCTGCTTCGACGGGAACGACGGCGTTTCGAGGAGGTTAGGGTTTGCGAGAAAGACGGGCATTGAGGGATCGCCGCATGGCGTCCTGACCAATGAAAAGACGTGGTTGTGGCTACCTTTACCTCCATTCTTCCGAAGGAGAAGAAAATCTCAGAAATCTGTAGCCAAAAGGTATTAATTCAGGAAAGCTATGAAGATCAGGATAAGAATGGAGAGTAATCAAAACACACTCCTTACGACAAAATTCAATAAACGGAGAGAGAAAGAGAGAGAATGAGCTTACTTTCTGGGTGATTCCAAATACGTTCGAAGTATTTTCTCTTCCGTTCGATTTTCTCGGGAAAATTTTCAGTTTGTGAGGTCAATCGAATTCAGAGGCTTGAGCTCCTGAAATTTGTTAGAAACGAGGAAGAAGACAAAAAGCCCTTTGGGCTTTATATACGATCAAGAAAAAACGGAGAAAATTAGTAAATTCTTTAAAGAAAAAAAAAATTTAGTTACCTTACCGGATATATCCGGTACATACGAAAAGGCGCGTGCTATTTCAAGAAAGAGATATATGCTCGTAATCCACGGGTAAAGACGGTAACAGGTGATAAGAATCGGCTAACTGAGCAACGCGGTTTATTCGGGGAAAACCCGCTTTAAGTGAGGCCCAAGTGGCCTGTATCGCGGATCCATCAATCTCTGATCTTACGGATGATAATGAGTCACGTGTCCTTTAATTGTTTGTTTCACAAACCTGGCTTTGAGCCCTTGACACGTAGGTGATTGGAGTATGGAGACGGTTCACCATTCACGTGTATATCGAGGAAACTGGAAAAAAAATAGTTTTTTTGTCGTCTACTGGAAAAAAATAGTTAAATTGTTAATTAGCGCAATTGAATTAAAATAAATACCTTTACAGAATATAGATCTAAAGTATGTCAGAAAGACAAGACACAAAAAACAAGGGAGAACCAATATTTTAATTACTACATCGATGGTAGTTAGACACGTTTTTAAAGTAATACAACTTGGTTCTGGCTATCTGGAATTTTGGAATAGTCTTTAGAAAAGTTAAGAAATCTTAAAATTCAGAAATCTAAAACCACTTTATCGCTAGTTTCTACTGAGTTTTTAGTGGGCTTTTTCAATTAAAAATAAATCTAAAAAACCCAATATTACTAAAATCGTTCCTTATCTTGGTATATGTAGAAACGATTCTAAAAAGCCCAAAAGATCAAGATTATCTTTGGTTTCTAAACATTTTCTTAAAGCTTTAATTGAATTAATTAAATTAAAAAGCCCAAAACAATAAGAATCAATCCTTATTTGGAGATTGAAGGATTGTTTCTTGTAACACGTGATACCACATTATTGGCCAAATATCTCTTGAATTTTTTTTTTATATTAGGTCACCATTTTGGTCGACCATTTCACTTCATTCGACCAATTTCACGGTCTCAATTTTTTCCTCTTTTTGTAGCCATCTCCATCTGTCCGTCGTCATCTCCGGCACGATGGTCGTCTTCGCCGGCGCTGATATGCAGATGCTTCCTTGTTTCCTCCATCCAATTCACAGATAAACGATTTCTCTCCTTAATATTGTTGTTATGTTTGTTGATTTTGATTCTGTTTCTGCCCTGGATTTGCTTAGTCAGAAATGCTAAATTAGTTTATGGATCGAGGATATAGTTTGTAAATCTTCAACAGAGTTTCATGATTTCTGCATCGGTTTCATTTTGCATGTAGTTTCATATATTTCCTGAATTAGTTTAGGGATAATGAAAAGTGATATAAATCGTAAAAACTCAAGAAATGCTTTGGACTATAACTGGAGGACGAGGAATACGTGGTCGAAGAGGCCCAGGTGGTCGTGGCTAAATCATTTTGTGAAAATCAGGTAGATGGCAACACTAACATTCCATCATGAAAAAAAAACATTCAATCATGTCTAGAAAAAACAGAGTATACAAAAAAGAAAAAACAAAGTACAGATTATGAAAGACAATATGTTACTATATAGGTTTCAGATAAAGCCGTTGCAAAGTTTCCAGAGAAAACCATAAACACCTCAATTTCTGGCTGTTCTTCTAGTTTTAAAGAGCTCTTTGATTGAGATTAACTCCTTTATGTTTTTCAAGGCTCTATTACTTGGATCTGGAGCTAGGGAGTGAAACCGATGGCGACATGGAGACACTCCCAGCTCACCACAAAGTCTGATCACTTGTTGAAGGTTGATCTTGATTAAATCCTGCAAAATAGAAAGCATAAATTAAAAGAAGAAGAGCAAAATCAAGCTTAAGAGGAAGCATATGTCGTCGAAGTAGAAGAAGCTGGTCAAAGAAAAAAATCAAAAAGAAGAAACAAAGTCAACAAAAAAAAAAGTTGGGCTTTGTGTGTTTTTGGTGTAATGAAGAAAGTGGGCTTACGTGTATTGCTGAGGCTCAAGTGATCATATAATTAGTTTGGTTAAAGTAACTAAGTTAAGTTAGAGTTAGAGTAGTTTAAGAGTTGTTAGAGTAGTTAGGAGTTGTTAAAGGTGATGATGTTTGGAGTAAGGTTACTTGTGCAACTAGTCTAGTACTAGATGTATGGACTAGAAGAAGTGGTTAAGACTAGAGTCCAAGTGTTAAAGATGTATCAAGTAATATAAGTATGTGTGTGTTGTGTTTTTGTAAAAGCATCGATTGATCCAATATCAACAATGTAGTCTTTCATGTATTTCTCTTCTTGTTTTCACTTAGATCAACCAAACAACAACAATGAGTGAAACAGAAAACTAGAGAGAGAGTGAAAGTGTGAGAAAGAGAAAAGAGAAACAAAAGAGAATGAGAGAAAGAGAGTGAGAACCTCAGGGTTCAAAGACAAAGAGAGAAAATGAAGAATGTCAACATCACTAGATTAGATAAGATGATGTGCAATCGATTAAGCTCGCTTCGTGGAGATTACAGCTATGAAGAGGGCTTGGAAGTATGGTTTGGATCCCACAACTAAAAGACAAGTTCGAGGGAAAAATCATGCTTTGTTTTAAAGGTTTATGCTCTGTGTTTTTATTTCTTTCATCTCTTTAAAGATCATAGAAACAGTTTTTTGAAATATAATTTAACATATTTTCAAAAAAAAAGAGATTAACTCCTTGGCTTTTACTTGTTGCCAACCGATTCGTGGGAATTCTTCACAACACTTAAGTCTCACCTCCAAAACAGTGTCAAGGACTCAACCACTGGGAAACCGACTCTAAGACCACTCTGAAAAATCGATTTATCTGCAATGTCCAACACTTTTTCTGACAACACAGACTTAGGGTAGCTGTATATAGTGTAAAATTCCCCGCAAATAACTTTGTTGGTTGTTTTCCAGTAAACATGTTCAAAAGAAGAAGACCAAAGCTATACACATCACCATGTATTGATGGTTGTCCCCCTCATTCCATATTATGTGCCACAATTCACAGGAATGATAAACAAGATTGTAATGAAACAAAAGAATATTCTAGTTTTCTTCGAAGAACATTACAAATGTGTGATAGTTCTACCTGGTGCGACATAGCCGATGGTTCCTCTTACACCAGCTTAGCTGAGTTGGTTGAAGAAGCTCTCTTTGTCTTATCTGTAGAGAAGCCGAGCCAGACCGAAATCGCTGACATGGGCAGTTATATTGTTTTCTAGAAGGATGTTGCTTGGCCTCAGATTGCAATGAGCTATAGTTCATGACAATGATCATGAAGATATTCCAAAACAGAAGCAACATTTATTGCTATGTTAAGCCTTTCAAGAAGAGTCAAAGTTCTTGAAGGCCTACAAATCTCTTCAACTTCCTCTGGATACATCCACATATCCAAGCTTCCATTAGGCATGAACTCATAAATGAGAGCTCTGAATTCCTTTCCTTGATAATCAATACTTGTACAAGTCGTCAACAGTTTCACAAGATTGTGATGCATTATGTCCCTGAGAGTTTCACATTCTGCCACAAAAATCTTCATAGCTCCACGTACAGTTATCAGGTATTGATATGCTGCTGGCTTCACGGAGGAAAGAGAGACCATTGAACAATTCATCTGTGCTTTGCCAATGCTGCTCAAAATGAAAGACAAAGACAAAAGTCAAAAACTCGGTAATCCACGCAGAATCTCCATCCTCCGTCCTTCTTTTGAACGAGCAAAACTGGACTTGAATATGGACTGATGTTCGGCTGGAGTCTCTGGAGGTTCAAAACTTTCACTGCAACAACCTTGTTTTGTGTTAGGAGAAATGCCTTAAACACTGTACCAAAACTGCCTGATCCAATCATATTTGTAGAAGAGAAGCCATCTGTCGCATTTCAAAGATATGCATAACTTATATTTCATGAAAAACCTTAAGTAGGGAAGGAGTTGAATTATTTATCTTCTGATTCTTCTTTCTTTTTCGGAACCAACATAGAGAAACATAAGCTATGAAAAACAGCAAAAGAAAAGCTATGCCTATGCTGACCCCGATTGCATCTTTCTTTAATTGAGAGGAATGCTCTGTTTCCACAGGTGGTACTTGCGCAAGGCATGAATTTAGGATAAACTCCCTGATGCCTCCACATAGATCTTTGTTACCAAATACAGAAACAATAGTAGCATTCTGAAATCTTCCTTCTGTTGGCACCATCCCGTTGAAATTGTTAATAGATAGATTGAGATACTCCAACGAGGGAAAGTATACAAAATATTCAGGTATACTTCCAGAAAGATTATTCTCCAAAAAATCAACTCTTTTAACACCCAACAAACCTTTTATATCTAGGATATCTCCATAAAAAAAGTTTCCTTGTAGATAAAGATTTCTCATCGGAAGACATTTTCCCAAGGTTTGTGGAAGCTGTCCTGATAATTTGTTATCCCTAACAGATAGTGTAACAAAATGTTATAGTCGTCCAACATCTTTTGGTAGGGAGCCAGTCAAGGAATTATGTGGTATGCTAAGGGTAAGAATGGGTGAAATTTGCATAATTTTCCGAGTTATAGTCCCATTCAACTTCTTATACCTAACATAAAAATATAGCAAATGGCTACATCTACCAAGACTTGGAGGAATGGTTCCTTCAAAACTATTGTTGTACAAATAAAGTCTTTCTAACCGAGTGATATTGTCCATAAGAGATGGTATCTCTCCTAACAATCTGTTTGAATGCAAAATTAAAACCCCTAACCTTAAAAACTTCCCAAGAGAGACTGGGAGTTGTCCTATCAACAAATTTTCTTCTAAATTAAATGTTTATAGGTTTATGAGGTTCCCAATGTCATGAAGAATGTTTCTAGAGATCTTATTCCTTTTAAGGTTTAAATAGATGAGGATTCTGGACAGATTGACAATGAAGGTAGGTAAGTCACCCGCAAGCCTATTTCAAAGTGTTGTGTTGACTGATTTGAGATACTATTAGACAGACTGTAAAAACAGGATGTGGTATTGATGCCAAGACAATATGAGTATGTAATTCAGATGATGAGACATAATCGACATACAAGAAGTGGCATTTCAGACAGAGACAGGTGGAACTGACACAATTGTTGAGTAATTCATGATGCAGGTGCTGGTAGAGTAAGAAGAATGAAGCAGTGTTTTATGCAAGTGATGATCAGAGATCGACACATGATAAAAATATATTGTGGCGATCATGAAGACTGTAGTAGGATACATTGAGGATGTATCAGTCGCTGAGTCAGAACGAGATGCATCAGAGAGTGCATCAGACGATGTATCAGGAGGTAAGGACTTGACGTGGCGCAGAAGCTGACGTGGTGCAGAAGTTGACGTGGCAAGTAGTCTGCTGAGCTGGACAGAGTTGTTGGGAACGTATATCCACTGCAACAGATTTTGGTAAATAGATAAACTTGGGGAGCAAGTTTTATCTATCCAAAAGCGCATAAAGATCCTAGGGTTTAGGATATTTATAAATGCCAGGAGGGCGTTTCATAAAGACTGGACGTGCCTAAGATATTGTTTAAAGATGCACACAGCTGTGGGGCATTGTCCCACCATACAAAATTTGTAAGTTTGTTGGTGATGGTTTATGGAGTACAAGAATGTCTGCGAGATGGTGCTTATATCGGTTGTAGCTGAGTGGTAGACTTTGTAAGGATACCGTGTCCACAGGTTCTCCATCTAGGAAAGAATGGTAGGCATTGTAGTGTTAGATACTACAGCAATTGTAATTGCAGTCTTATTCTAGTGGATTTGTTCTACACTAGGTCCCAAGGATGTAAGAAACCCAAACCTCGTTAAAAAACTATGTGTACTTTACTTTATGCTCTTCGTATGTTTGATATGTTCATCTCATCGTACAAACAAAGAACTAGTCAGGATCCACACTTTCACTATTCTCACCCACACTTAAGGTATGTAGTTGAGTGCAATTAGTCAAGGCACCAATAAATTCAAGATCTCCGAAAGAGTAACTTCCCAAAGAATTACCATGAAGAGCTAGGTATTGCAAATTCCATAATTTCCCAAAGCTAGGAGAAATACTTCCTATGAAACTGTTATATTCGATTCCCAATTTTTGTAGAGGTAAAATATTGGGAAGTGTTGTTGGAATGACTCCTGTGAGATAAATTCTTCCCAAATATAACTCCCGAATATGTGGTTGTAGATTCCAAATCAGGCTTGAGGCTTCCGAAGAAACCATTACCAAATATGTTCAAAAACTCAAGTGAGGACATATGTAGATTGCAAGAGTAAAAACACCTGAGAAATTGTTCATTGATAGTTCAAGATACACCATTTGATTCAATCTAGCCATACTATCCGGAACTCCTCCTTTTATATTGTTATTTCATAAACCAAGAAATCTGAGTGATGTCAAGTTTCCTAGAGATGCAGGTAGCTTCCTTTTCAAGTTGTTTTTACCAAGCTTCGTTAATGATCCTAGTTCTGAAGGAACACCTCCTTCAAGATGATTTGAATATAAACCAAGTTTCAACAATCTGGAGCAGTTATAAAGACTGGCGAGAATCTTCCCTCAAAGAGAACTAAAGCTCATATATATGTATTCAAGTCTAAACAAGTATCCCACCTCTTGAACAATGGTACCACCTAAAGAATTATTAGTGTGATTGAGTGATCTGAGAAACGAAAGATTATGGTGATATCACCACGCCCAATTATAACCCCCCCCCCTCCCCCTCTCCCATTTCTGCAACTCGTCACAAGTTCAAACCGATTTGAAACAAAACAGAGGAGGGAATCCTGCAATTAAAAAAACCCTTGAACCAGAGCTAGAACTATTTCCTTTTGAGGAGAGTAATTATTCTTTTTATCTATTCAATCGCACACACACTATTATTGACTG